GGGGGCGGGCGTGGCGCGAGAAGAATTAAGTGGTCTGCGTCTGATGTCCGCACGTGGTCGAGTCCGGGCGACAAATGACCATCGATTGGGAAATTAGTATTAGTTGTACCGGAGGTGGCTGACTCACGCCGCGCACTTTTGTAGTTATAGCCTACTGTAACCGCATGCACGAGTGAGGGCGGGTTGGCGGGTTTGCCTATCCTCGCTGCCCACGGCTCCTAATGCAAGCAGATACAATCCGCCCGCACCCTTGTATGCGACACCGCGTACGCATACCTCTATGATGCGTGAGTAAGTGGTATGTTCTATATAGGCAAAAGAAAAATGGTTGGAGTTCGCAAAATTTAAAGAGTTTCTTTGTTTTTGAGTTAAGAGACGGGGACTTTGGGGAGAAGGGAAGTATTCTGCAATGCAAGCCCTAGAAGGCCGCCAGCGACAACCGTTCAATCGATCACTTTTGCTACTTTCCTTTTATATAAACCCGCCTTCTTCTATAGCGACCTCTGGCGATCGAAGCGTTTACCACGCAGATGAGTTGTAAAGACCCGAGGAGCCATTCAAAAGGCACGCTGTTAGACGTCGTTCGGACTGGGTCCGATTGGGATGACAGATACAACGAGTGCCGCCGGCCCCAGTTCGACTCGCACTTGCTGCCACCATGGAGGTCGTCTTGGTCGTGCTCCTCCTCTGCTGCGCGGCGCCCGGGGTGCGGGCCGACCTGCCCGTCGTGGACTCGGCCGCGCCCCCCGAGGCCAGGAGCGCCGTGGCGCTGCTCACGCCGTTCATGGCGCCCCAGCAGGCCACCCTCATTGTTATGGGCACAACGCGTTGGACCGGCGCCTTCCTCCGGGAGCTGTCCGCGGACATCCCGCGGGTGCTGGCCCCGAGTAGGCCGAACTGGAGCTCCACCGCATTGGGGCGACACTATTTCTCAGACACACGGGTAGGCCGCCTCCAGCAGGCTCTGATGGCGACTCGCTCCGCTCTCCTTGTCGCCACGGATGACGAGCAGGAGCTGTTCCTCGCCATGGAGGCCTACACCCCCCTCAGAAGAAACATAGACGTCCGGGTCCTCTTCTGGAGCACGGTGTCCACGTCCACGTCCGTCCACGAGGTGCTGCGGCGCATGTCTGTGATGAAGATGTGGCTGGCTGGCCGCCAGCACGCCCTGGCCCTCACCGCCCCCAACGGCAGCACCACCCTCTACCGCATGACCTGCACATCTGAGCACTCCTGCATAAGCCTGCACACGACAATCTTGGAGACGGACAAGTGGTCAACCGTCGAGCAGCGCTGGCGCCTGGGTGCCGCCGTGTTTCATGATTTCTGCAGAGGATATCGTCGGATAGGCAAGCACCAGGACCTAACCATGTTCGTACAGACACTAAAAGGTTCGGATAACAGATCATCGCTCGAGGAGCTGACGAAGAGCGTCGTGAATCTAGCCAGTAGAGGCCGTCGGCCGGTGAAGTACAAGAAGACAAGTGGTCATCATGAACTTGATACCGCATTAGAGGAGTGCACCTTGGCCGCAGTCATCACAGACGGGGTTTTCTTGGACCTGGATCGGTTAACGGAGATTAGCTTTCTACCCGACTTGGAGCTGGCCGAGTTCGCCGTGATCGTGCCGGCGGGCTACGGCGCGAGCGTCAGCGTCCTGGACGCGGTCACGGTGGAGTTCTCTCCAGCGCTGTGGTTGGCCACGGGGCTGGCCATCTTGAGCACGGTGGTGGTCTTTGCGTGCGCCCCGCGGCAGGACGTCAGCGGCGCGGTGTTGCAGGCGCTGGCCCCGATGCTGGGTCAGGCGCCGCCGCCGCCCGCCCCGCCCAGGCCCACGTTGGCCGCCTGGCTGCTCGCCTGCGTCGTGCTGACCGCCGCCTACCAGGGACTGCTGCTGCGCAAGCTGTCCTCGGCCGTCCCTCAGCGCGATCTGGAGAGCCTGCAAGACCTCGAAGACAGCGGCCTGCCCTTGAAAGCGGTGGGAAACCTGGCGCGCACCAATGTGCTGACCGACAACCTGAACGCCCGGGTTCAGCACGTGTTCTTCTCAGAGACAAAGACGGTCATCGACACGATCGCCACCACTCGCAACTGCGCCCTCCTCGTTTTCCACAACCGACACACTCGTAGTTTTATGCGTCCCCACATGATGCCCAGGAGGCTGCACGTCATCCGGCTGAGTTACTTCCACTTCAACATTATCGCGGTGACCACGAAGGGGTCGCCGTTGGAGCGCCCCCTGGCCAGGGCGCAGGTGCGGGCTGAGGCCGCGGGGCTGCTGGCGCGCTGGCGCCGCGCGGAGTACGAGCGGGAGTACCAGGACGACGTCAAGAGGCTGGCGTCGCTGCGGGGGCCGCGGCCGCTGACGCTGTGGCACCTGCTTCCGGCCTTTGTCGTGCTGGGGGTGGGCCAGGTCGCGGGCGTGGTCGTCTGCACCCTCGAGGTGCTGTGGGCTTGGCGCGCCCGCCGGGCTTAGTACGGAGTGCAGGAAATTTTGACATGGAGCCCTATGAGGACTTCGGTAAATAAGTACGGATGTCCTGTACCTCATCGTGTACGGAAACCCTGTACTTTCCCCGTACTTTGCCGTCGTTTGCCACAGAATTTTTAACCGTGTAACGGAAATTCTGGCTGCGCGTCTTTCTGAGTGATACCTTGCATATACCAGTTGCAGTATGGACTCGTCGTTTTATTGTTGGGCAGAAACGACTCTGTCCGGTTCTTTTACAAAATAATAAAAAGGGTGGGGGGAGGGTGGAAGGGCGAGGGTAGGGCTGGGATGTCCCTGATTGGCTGAGTATGGCTGGCGGGCGGGCGGCACACTCGAGCGATTAGATAGTGCAGGACACGCCCTCGGTCTCGGCCGCGCGAGCCAGGTGGAGGTCGGAGAGGTCTTGGCTCCTCGCGGTCCAGCCAACAGTCTGCCCCCGAGCTCCGAGAGAGCTCCGCCATCGTCCGAAAGGTACTACCTCCTCCTGCTGCCGCCCTGCTTTGCTGCCCATACCGTCGTGCACATTCGCGGAGTCTTTTCGCGCTGAGCTCAGCCGCGGCCGCGAGCGCGCCAAGCGCGCGCCCCACCCCCCGCACCACACCCCTCGCTCACGGCGTCGTCGCTTTGCTTTATTTTTACAGCGCAGTGCCGGTGCGGGACCCACCGCCATCCGACCGCCGCCGCCATGCCCACGTCGCAGCAAGTGTTCGACCGCGAGGACAAGTACGGCGCCCACAACTACCACTCGCTGCCCGTGGCGCTCAGCAAGGGAGAGGGTGAGTACAGGGCGCCCGCTGCCCCATCCCCGCCCCGCCCCCGCCAGTGAAGTGTTAGATGGCTGTAACGACTGACGACTCGTCCTGCCTAGAGAGCAATGTAGTATCAGACCGATATCAAAACAACGTCAGACATCAGAAATTTGTCGGTTTTCGCATCAGATTGATAAAAATGTGGTCCTGAAATTGACACGTTTCTGACAACTGATATCGTTCTGACATCAGTCTGACATTTCATTGCTCAATGGGTGGACGGTTCCTCCTGTCACACGTTAAAGCGTGTCTGACGATCGTGTCAAAATATAGAAAGATGTGCGATAATCCGGGTTATCCATTTACGAAATAATTGTGTGACGGACGCAGTGTTATTGCGATACAAGTTAGGCAACAATTCCAACAAGTACACTTGTGTGGAGCGGGCTGCATCTCAGCCCAGTAGCCCGCGTGTGTAAACGTTGCCTAGTAGGCAGGCGTAGATGCAGCCCGCTCCCCACAGGTGTATTCGTGGGTATTTTTGCCTAACTGTACGATGTGCATGACATGTTTGTCACAAACACACACCCTCTTAAGCCATTTTGGTATTCTCTCTTATGTATTCTTTTTTGATGTGTCCCCCTAGGCGTCTACGTCTGGGATGTGGACGGTAAGCGGTACATGGACTTCCTCAGCGCGTACTCGGCCGTCAACCAGGGCCACTGCCACCCCAAGATCATCGCCGCCCTGGGCGAGCAGGCGGCCAAGCTGACGCTGTGCTCGCGCGCCTTCTACTCGGATGCGCTCGGCGAGTACCAGGAGATGATGAGCAAGCTGTTCGGCTACGAGCGCCTGCTGCCCATGAACACGGGTGTCGAGGGCGGGGAGACGGCCTGCAAGCTGGCGCGGCGCTGGGGCTACGACAAGAAGGGCATCCCGGCCAACAAGGCCAAGATCGTGTTCGCCGAGGGCAACTTTTGGGGGCGCACCCTGGCCGCCGTGTCCAGCTCGACCGACCCCGAGAGCTACGGCGGCTTCGGGCCCTTCATGCCGGGCTTTAGCACCGTGCCCTACAACGACCTGGCCGCCCTCGAGGTAAGCAAGCACACCATGGTGATGATGGAGGGCGTCCCCTCGGCATACCGTTCACGACGAGGGGTTACACATTACTCAAATCAAAGGAAACTGTAA